ATATCAGTAGACTTTAAAAAGGCAGTTACAATCATAATACATTTACAGTAATACTGCAATATTTGATTTGATTTTTTATTTCTGCATTTTTCCAAATATAATAACTGAATATCAAAGAACATAAAAACGTAAGGTATAATACAAAATATACTAACAATAATAACTTCATGTCAAAATGATTTTTTTTGTTGTACATATATACATATAATAACGAAACTTAATATTTCTATTACATATTGTTATAGATTTAAAGTATTATCCGAAGTATCTGTGGAAAAAGTGCAAGAGACCGCAATCATAAGCGATGCTTGACTAGGAGGGCGGCCTTTAAAAAAAAATCGTAAGATAAATTTGAAAACATAATTTTATTTAAACGATCTTTGTGTATGAGTTTGTAAGTGTGTTGTGTGCGTGTATACTGTGTGTGCGTGGGTGTGTGTGGGTGCAAGTGCGCGCGAGCGTGGGTGTGTGTACGTGTGTGTGGCGAATAGTGGATGTGCACGTAGCTCTGTGTTGTCCCGTGTGTTGTATAGTGGAGTGGAAACTTTAAACGTTGGACGTTTGAAACGTTGTCGCACCTATATCATTCAATTTAATATATATTCTTCAAGTTATATAAAACAAACATTCTAAACATTCTAAAGGCTAATTTCTAAGGCCCCTAGAGCCTAAATATTGGGAGCCCCAATTCGCCAACAATTTGATGGCAAAACTTCACTTAAATTGTATCATAATGTGAAAGAGGATGTCATTTAAGACACACTTCTCCGAAGAGTTCCCTCGAAAAATGTGTCAGAAGACAAATATTGATAAAAGAACATAATTCGGGTTTTCTGTTGTATGCAGAAAACCTAATTTGTTTATTCTTTCATTAATATTCGACTTCAAACACATTTGCTTTGAAAATCCTTGCAAAAATGTCTCTTAAATGACATCCTCTTACACATTGTGACATAATTTAAGTGAAATTTTGCCATCAAATTATTGAGACTACCAAAACTTTAGAGGGGCTTTGATACTTAATACTAATGACAGTAGCTAAAAATCACGAATTAACTAGCTAGAACATGTGTAAGGACCAACATATTTAAAACAATTTTGAAAAGGAGAATATAATTAAAGGAATAGAGTAGCCCTTAGCTGTTTAAAACTCATCTATAGCATACGATTCCATATTCGTACCCTCATTTTCCCTAGTGTATGTGTAAAATAAAAGCTATTCTCCGAGAGGATTACAAAAATATAGATTCAAGATAATGTTGAGTTCTGGTCACGCGATTGTATTGTGAAAGAAAAGGTGTTGGATGGATCAGAAAAGGTTGATCATCTAGCATATAAGTATTGGTGTGTACTGTAAGGTTCTGGAGTCATCAAAATCATAATAAATTCAGCCCAGTCTTGGTAAAGTAACAAACACTGTACACAGAAAGATGTATATGGGACTACACAAATCGTGTCGGGACTACCTACCTTGATTTCCTTATCTTTATATGCTCATTACTCAGCCAGTATACATTTTCTACCGAAATTGTTTGGCAAATGACATTTATTTGTAATCTTGAACGTTCAGTATAAGTTTTGTTTGATTCTGTGAGAATTAACTTTTTTTTAAAACCAGAACTCAAGTTTATCTTTAATAAAGGAAAAGAGAGTACATTATATTTCTATCCAAGGTAATCTGTATTCCACCTCCATTTTGTTTCACATACCTTAAGCATATACTTTCTCTGTATGTTTTCTTCTCTCTTACTCTCTCTCTCTCTCTCTCTCTCTTTTAAATATTATTTGATGTATGTTACAATTTGTGGTACATTTGGGGATATGATGTACGATTCCATGATATGAATTACGACATAAAATTAAATCAAAAACTGAATCAGAAACTGAAACTGTTGAATAGCTAGTCATTAAGACGCAGAGTTTTCGCGACTTAACAATGGAATAACAAACCTAATCATAATGACCAAGGTCTTATTAGTGGCCAAATAACTGCATTAGAATCTGTACTGATTGGTTTTCAGGGATCGAGTCGGCAATAATTATGTGACCGCCAGGCATTAACAAACATTATAATCCATCGCTCTAAGTTGTCTGCTTGTGACGTGTTATACGTGCCTGTACGCATTTTAATAGGTCTGACAAATACGTCAAACGCGATATGAAAACTGATCAGAAATGCCTGGCATGTCTGCAATTAGTAGCTCTATTCTTTCCCTGGTGATGTATGAAAGAAACAAGTTTAACCGTATTATAGACCTCAAATGGTTCTTGGGCCAGCACTACAAAATGCGACTGTGGAACCAAAACATTTTATGTTAGTTTTTTTTTTATTATTAATTTTTAATGAAATCTGTGGACAATCAACTTTTTCTTAGTATACCTACAGTAAACACACACAGATTGAAACAGCAAGCAATTTCCTTCAAAACTGCCTCGTGGAGCGGTTCACATATTTATACAATTCGAATTCATTCCCAACATAGCCTGTGAATTTCAATAAAAGTAACACTGACGAAAACATGTATGGCGGGCTTCTTCATTAAAATGAGAGAGCTTTGATTGTTATACAATGCTTTTAATTCAAAAAGGAAAAAAAAAGTTTAATGATGATGATTCAAAGTACTGCTAAACTGAGTGGTGCTGTTACGTTAATCCATCTTGATGTAAACTCATGTACTGCCATGCCAGACGATCAATTGCAGAAATGTCAAAATATAAAACACCCAAAGATCGCATTCACTTCCCAAAGGATATTGATTTTATTTCCAACATTCATTGAACGTACGAATGTCGCAAACTGATGATTATTCTCATACACCAAATCGTGTATTAGGATATTGATCAATGTGATCGTGTTTATTTGTCTGGTTTTAGCCATCACGCACATCTGCAGCAGAGAGAAATTGAAGCAATAAATTGGTATTTTATTCAATATCGCATCCGAGCAGGTACAGACACACGTTATGTGATTCTAACACTGCACATGAATATTTAAGGACCTTATTTTAACAAGACATGCTTTGTTTGGGTTTGTTTCATCCCCACAAACTTGGGGTTGCCGTAGAATGTTATTTCAAGTTTTGCCGCCAAACTGAAATACTGCAGTTCTTTTGTGGCTTTTATTATATTTTTGTTGTAAACCCTTAAAATTATTTTTCAAAAGCATAACATTTTACCTTTTTACAGCAAATTTTAGATGTTTTTTTTTGTGGGAGATGATAAATAAGCTCATTCAATCTAAAAGTGTTTGAGGGGCGTTCACGATTGTCCGAATTTGTGTATATCTCAGAATAATCGTGTACCACTATTTTAGTTTAAATTCATGTATTTTCATCGTTTAACAAATTGCACACAAACAAAACGAAATTTAAAAAAAGATTAAAGAATGAAATCAAAGCTAGAAAATAAAGTGTCTAAATCATGGTTTATTACCAGTTGATAAACCTAAAATACAACTCTTGTTCATACGGTCACGGAATGAGATAGAACTTGTGTATTGTGATACAGATGACTTGGTAATACAGTTGTTATTGGTCGAGGCTGAAAACAGCAACACACAAAGATTGATTATAGGAAAAAACATGTTTCAAGAGATTGCTGTTTTTAAATTCAATATATAAAATACGATCCTGAAAACTCTCTAAAATACCACGTTAAGGCAATTTCATTAAACTATTGTATTATAAATTATCATGTTCGGGTTCATGTAATTGAAATGTTCGGACATATGACAAGGTGGTCGACATGGCTATTGAATCATCCGACTTTCATTTTCTGAAAGCCTTTGTTAGCGTATTCGCGACATCTTCTAGAACTTATAATAAAATTTGGACACTGCTGAATGCCATTAAAAATTTTGCATTTTTTTCTAGCTATTTATTAATTGTTTCAGTCCGACATGAAATGTAAAATTCGACTTTGTGAAACAGATAGCAAGCCTTAAGAAAGGTGTCTCATCTATAGTGCAATCAGAACATGATTCCTTCTACCCGTGGTCATTCCAACAACAACAACAACAGCAACTACAAGTATACAACTACTAATAATTAATGTGAAAATGTTCTTATTTTTCACTCTTCTACTTACAGATTTTTTTTTTTTAATTGTACTTTTCACCTTTAAAATGTACAAGTGACAAGAAAATAAGAGTTTTAAACAGCTCCTAATTATATAAACGTATAAAAACAATAATTCTTATACTCATTAGTTTGTGCACATTAGATGGTCTACGTCGGTGATGACATGCTTCTACGCCGTTGTATGTCTGACTGCCCTTGATAGAATGGACTTTTAGATTTACACGTCGACATAGTGGGCTGCTACGTGTGACGTCCTTTTAAGGCAATGGCAGTGCCTTAAAATGACATCACACGTAGCAGTCCACTATGTCGACGTGCAAATCTAAAAGTCCCTATTGGCGCAGCAGAGGTTTAAGCCTCGTGTGTAGTCTAGATCCATGTGACAATCCTAGTTACACCTGACGCGTTGATCGCTGACGCAGGAGCGCATCAGAGACTGGTCTTTGCTTCGCCATGTTGTGAAAAGGAAAGCGTACTAAAAGCCTTCCTGATGATAGAAGGAAAAATAAGGAATTAACATAAGGAAAGACAGAAAGAGAAGATAACCCCCCAAAATGTAAAGATAAAGAGTAAGGAAAAAAAGATAGTAGAGAAGTGGAAAGAACGAAAAATTCAAATAACATGAGAAAGGTAGAAAGGGGATGTGACAGGAGTGTAGTAAAGAGTAACAAAAGAAAGATAGATGAGAAGATGATAGAATGATGAAATTAAAGAATAACAAATTAAAAGAGAAGAAAATGATAGAAGGATAACAAAAAATGTCAATAACAGAAGATAAAAGGATGAAATAATAGGAAAATAAAAAAGATAACATAAGAAAAATAGAAAGAAAAGATTATGAAAGGATAAAGATATAGAAAAAAGATGAAAAAAAAGAGAAGGTGAAAGGTGAAAACAAGAAATATCAATAACAAATAGAAAGAAAAACACGATAGAGGGATAAAAACAATAAAAAATGACAAGTGCTGTCATAGCAAAAGCTCCCTGTTGCTATGGCATCACGTGTCTCATCAGGGTAAAAATTGCAAATTTGGTGATAGTCTCAGTTTTGTAATTAAGTCAATGGAAATAACGCCTCGTATGCACCAGGCTAAAAGGCACATTATCAGGTTACAGATACTGTTGTATGCTGATCAGATCTTTTCTGCTGCCTAACGGAAATGGACAGTGGCTGTACGCTGTTCTCCGACTGTCTGAATGACGCCTCGGTCGACTCACTATTACCGCAACGAAAAGCCTTAAAGATACCACGCCGGAACAGCTTGTTCTTGAAGACGTATATAAAGGGATTGACGCAAGAGTTGCAAACCGCTAAGATGACGGAGAAGTGGTAGTAGGTCTTGGTGAAGTCGACAGGTGCGCCAAGAGAGTAGGAGAGAAAGAGGAATTGGTTAGGTGCCCAGCAGACCATGAAGACCATGATGACGACGAAGAAAGTCTTCTGCATGTCGTTGGCTACCTTAAGATGCCACCGGTTGTTGTTGTTGACGATATTGACCCCTACGGATGTACCGTTACTCTCATTCCGTCTGACAATGTTATTATTTCTCTGAGCTCGCTCTGAAATTGAGAACAACAACAAATTGCGCAAAGTGTAAATATATATCAAGGAAGTCCGAACTAAATTTTATTTAACACAATAATATTCATTACTTCCTTCGGCTGCGTCTTTGATGTCCATTTTTCATCTAAATCTTTTAAAAGTTAGGCGACATTATCAGAGCGTATAAGCGATTTCTTTTCAAGACCCTAAGGGGAGACGAAATGCGAGGGATGAGGGGCAAGAGAGGGGCAAAGCTGACAGAAGTGGCCACCCCCTCAAGGTTTTTGAGGTTTTGTTGTATTAAAAAATTACATTCCTTAGCAAAACTATAGTATAAAAACAAGCAATATAATTTTGTTCACACTTCACTTGTCCTTTACCAGTAACGAGTGTGCAGTCCGAATGTTTGTTAATATTTAGTAGGTAAATTTTAGTAAGTAGGAAGCTAGGACATGGATGGGATTTCTATTACCCACTATTTACCTGTATATTTTGGAGGATATTATGCGAGGGAGCGTAGTAACCGAGCGAGAAGATTTTTGCATTGTTATTAGTCTAAACGCTTCGCTCATGGGCCCTCCCCTTCCCTGGATCACCGCCCCTGATTAATATAGTATATTGTGGTATCTCGCGCGTTGTGAATATAACACTCATTTAACGTGTCGGGAAGGGGCGATATTACTGGGTAGACAAAACAAGGCCATCGAGTGGGAAGGATTTAATAGTAACATTTATTCCACCCCAATCTCTTTTTATCTCAAGTTTGGGCTATCTAACATGTTATTAGTGTCATGTCCCCCACAGTTTAGTGGGTGGCGAACACCGTATCCGGACAACTAACCCTTAGGGCAACCACCCTCTAGGACGACTACCCCCGAGACAACTACCCCCGGACAACCACCCCCAGACAACTACCCCCTAGGACAACCATCCCTTAGACCAACTACCCCCCCGGACAACTGCACCCGGATAACCACCCCTAGGATGACATCGCCCTGGGTTAGTATCTTGAAAGTCTTCAAGATGGAAGGGGTATTATCCTCACCAATTGGTCCATGTTCTGCGATGTTGGCGGCCAGGGTATTGGCTTGACGTTTCAGAGATCTGATGATCTTACCATGCCACACCAGAAGGATAACGATGGGTATGCCGTAGATTACAGTGAAAATAAACACCCCAACAACCTGTGCAATTTAAAGAGAAGGTTGACTTGTGAAGTTGTGATAAAGGTCAAATAAAATTTGTGAGCTTTCTCGTTTCATTATTATTCCTAAAGACGCCCCCTTCAACAGGAATGCCATAGTCAATATTATGCGAATCTGAGTCACATACGAAAAAGCCATAGACTTACTAAAATCTCTTGCAATGTTTTATATAATTTATGTTTTGGGGCATATTCGATTCAGTTAAGGTACTCGCATCAGCGTGAATCTGTAATAGACTTTTAAAGTGTTTATCCTCTTATGTAGATTCATTTTTGTTTTCTTAATTTACATAAGCATGAAGGCTTTCATCACCAAAAGTAAAGAAACTCTGAAAGTGTCTGATAAAATAAACAAATTTGACCGTTGTGTTTTATGTAGCATAGACTGGCCATTTATCTTAGTAAAGATCGTGAATATGCATCAAATTAGATTATTTTTGTTTTCTTTACTCTTGAGACCCCTATGAACTAACTTAAAATTACACTAATTGAAATACCATTTGGTGAGCCCGGCTTGGGTAGGGCAAGAAGACACAGACTCCATCGCGAACATCGTAGATGAAGAAGAAAAATATTGGCGACAGGATGCCGATCAACCAGCAACATGCGGAAACGAGCAAGGTGAACTTTGTTGTGAAAACCCGCTTATACTTCAATGGATGCACCACGGCAACGTAGCGTTCCAAAGTCACGGCCACTAAGAAATAAATGGACATGACAGCCGACACCCACAGGATGTATTTCGAGATGTAAAGGCGACACATTAATTCGCCTGACAGTCCCTTCGATAAGGGTGGTGCACGTGGAAACATGTGAAAGGGTATTAGCCAAAATGAGGTGAGAAAATCGGCAATGGCGAGGTTGATGATGAACTGGCTCGTGCGTGTACGAAGCGAAGGAACGCGTATGAGAACGAAGCAGACGAGCGCATTTCCAGCCATTCCGCTGAAACCGATTACTCCGTAGACCGTGCGGACCACGGCGCTGTTGTCGATCCCGCTTACAGACCAACCCTGATCGTCGGCGTCATCGACGGTTTCGACGTCTGTGGTCATTGATATTGTTGAGTTTGGCAACGAAGGGCTTTCCAACAGATTCAGCCCCATTGGCCTAGCAATTCTGATCCCGTATGAAACAATCAGTCAGTGCACATTTAGAAGCACACTTATAATTTCAAGTTATGCGTATCCAGTCACTTCCCTCAGCCCGAAACACAATTCTGAAGACTATCCTGTTATAGTATTTCTTAAATTTTTTCCTGTCATTTAAAATGTTTCAACGAGCGTCATTATATGGTAATCCCTATTTAATACAAATGAAGTAGTTAACAAGAAGTAAAAATCAATATTTAAAAACAAACACCAGCTTGGAAAATGATGCTTACAAAGGGTCATCATCTGGAACTGAAGCGTTTAGCTTCTGATCTTGCATCACCTCGGAGCGTTACTTAATCAATGAAGTTTTGTAGACTCAAAACGGATTTCTAAATACAATATCACGAAAGGTTAGCTCATTCTTGTTTCAGATGCCATCTCGAAAAAATAGGGACAAATTTGGCAAACTTCATTCGTGTTATTTGCAGAGAGCTGTCCGTAGTTCAAGATAATGACGCACGTAAAGCTGAGGAGTGAGATCCGCATCTCAATCAGACTGTGCTGTGCATTTGAATTTACTATCTTCGAAAATCCCTCAGCTCCTCAAGGGTGATAAGTGATAACAAATCAAAGCTGTGATTTCATCTACCTCTGAACAATGGACTGGACGCGACTGTAATCAGTAGGGTCATTAAATATCACGTTAATTTGTCTGTGGAATTGTTTTTTTACACAACGAATCCTTCGGAATGCCGGGAGATGATTGGTTGATTTGGGTTGTGCGTATATAAGAAAACGGACCACTCGGTTCTAACATCGCTATTGTCAGTGACTGATCCTTGAGGCACTCCGTAAGTAAGGCATCATACATTAATATATCATGAAAACTGAACAGAGCAACAAAGCGTTAATTAAAGGAATGCATGTACGCAGTATTATATAATGGTTATTGAATATTTGTTACCCCGTTGGCGAGTACCGTATTTCAAAAACTCATCTTGATATGATTTCCGTTTCATAAAATATTTACTTCTCATCTACACCAAGACAAATTTGTCGTATTGATAAATCAGATCGAGCTAGGGGTGTTTCGCGAGAGAGAGTGAGAAAGAAGTGAATGTTTCATGACTTTAGAAGGTTAAATTGTGTCGACGGATGTGAAATCAAGGAAATATTCGGACTACATTTTTTCTATCATGTATTCTCTTAAGAAAATAAATGACAACCTATCTTCCAATCCGCCGAATGCAATATCTATTGACGTGGCTCTATCGCCCCTTGATACCTGCTCTCAAACTGGTACAATACACAAATATTCAATGATACCTATTAACTAATATTTTCATCTGCTAGACATGTCTGAGGCTTTGAATACCTCCAAGGTAACCAGCGAATCAATGGAAAACCTTTCAATAATCAGACTTTGGCCACTCTGCTTTATACAAACAGCTTCCGCAAGGCTAAAATTTCGCCATTAATTTCACATAATGCGCGTTCTTATCAAAAGCGAATTCCACTTTGACTTCTTTCGCTTCATTAAAAAGAAGAAGGTGGAGCATCTTCTCTCGTGTTAATCTGACCTCGAGTTGTTCTAAGTTTCAGTTCCATACATCCAATCTCTTGATAGGCAGTGTTTCAGGTTACACGTCGACGTCTGACAGTGGCTGTTGCTAGGTAACGGACAAAGCACTGCGGCTTATCCACCGACAAGTCTAATAGGTATCTCGACGTCCAATTTACAAATTGAAAAGATGGTTCCACTCTTGGGTATTTTGCTCTGCGATGTCAAATCCGGTTCGCCTCCACGTTCCAGTGAATATACTCCTATTTGCTTAAAAATCGTGGACACTCTCTCACTTTCATCTGCAAAAGAAGGAGAAAAAAAAGGAAATAGAGTCGATACTCTGTGTCAATACTTCTGTTAAAGGAGATGTCCACCCTTATAATTAGCTGATATTAATTAAAGCAGATAAACGGAAGAAAGAAATTATTGAAAGTTTGAGCAATATCCGATTAAAAGTAGACAAATTATGATTTTTTGTTTTGTTTATTATGAATAAAGTTATCATCAGTGAAACACAAATTGGCAACATTGTGATGTATTTTGCGAGGCCCTCTCTAATTTGCTCTGTACATAAATTGTATAAACTTTAATTTTCTTAGTTATTGATAACGGAAAAATATTTCATACAGGGGTTGTATATAAAAAGAAAACATATTTGCAATAATTATAATTAGGATTCATGCCAGAATGAACGTTTTGTTGAGGGACATTTTTTCTGATTTTGTTAAGTGCCAATCGAATGGGAGGGAACATCGCAAGATACGTCGCAGAGTTGCAAATTTTGTGTTTGATTAATCACAACTTATAACTTTTTATTTTTAATCGGATTTGCTCAAACTTTCTCTAACATGTTCCTCTCAATTTTCTGATTCTATTAAAAGACATTTGATATCTAGACTTCTCCTTTAAACATCAATGCGACTATGGACGTTGCAAAGTCACATAACTGCGTTCTGCAAACGTGTATGAATTCATGCTTGAAGCAAACATGCACTAAAAGTGTCCACCTAGACGGTTTCTTGAGAGTATTTGCTGATCTTATCACAGTTAAAGCTTATATCAAGTATGCAACGAAATTCGTATCCTGATGAGTGTAGACTTTACAGTGTGCTACGGCTTAATGGAAGAGGCACACAAGGGGACTCGAGGATGGGTGGGAGAATTTTGTCTCTTCTTTCCTTGTCTGCCAAAGTCATGCGGTAGCATCAAGAGGATTTGAAAGTGTACTAGATAGTATAAAAAAATCTTAAAGTCAAGATATATGTATATTTTATACTGGTTGAATAAATGAAATGAAATGAAATGAAATAAAATGAATGAAAAGGCACTTCCCAGAAATTTTGAAAACTAATGGCTTTTTTTTTTCTATGTTTTTCTTGTAAGATTTTGTTTGGTCGTAATTTTCAGCAAATTTGGTCTGAAATTCCCCATTCGAGACTATCAAGTAAGGCCCCTATCCAGGCGCGTACGCAGGGGGGGGGGGTATTTTTTTTGAAAAAAATTAGTACCCTCACTCCCTCTCCCCCCCCCCCCCCCACTGAGCGAAATTTTGGTGGGCGCGATTTCCAAATTTTCAAAAACCCTCCTTGAAAAAATCCTGCGTACGTCACTGCCCCTATCGATACATATCTGATTGTGTGAAATGCATTGTACGAGAAAATATTATTATAAATTTGCTGTTATTTAAAGAGGCGAAAAAAGGGGGAAAATGTTGCTCATTACCCCCCCCCCCCCCTCCCCTCCCCCCCCCCCCCCCCCCCACTGACTGAAATTTTTGTGGGCGCGATTTCCAAATTTTCAAACACCCTTCTTGAAAAAATCCTGCGTACGCCACTGCCCCTATCGATACATATCTGATTGTGTGAAATGCATTGTACGAGAAAATATTATTATAAATTTGCTGTTATTTAAAGAGGCGATATGCTTTTTAATTTTTTCACGTTCGAAATCCATGCTTTTTAAATATGCATGCTACCTGGATCAGGTAAATAAAATGGGCAATCACTCATTCTTAGTCTTCTTAATTTCACTGTTACTACTAACGATATCTTTTTTGGAACAGTAAATTTATTTTGTTGCACAATAACACTGAATTGTTTATAGTTACTGTACCAATACTCATATAAAATCTATCCAACGTAAATCAATACAATAATTATTATATCCTGCATCAAAAATGTATTGGTTTTTGATTGGTTAAGAGCTCTCAACGTGACCCCAAATATTTGAACCATTTAAAAGTTGCCTTGAAAAAGTACTATTTGGGAGTACCTTTTGGGAGGTGATTTTTTTAAATATAAATATATCAAAAATATATTACGATTTTTTTTTTTTAATTATTTTAATTTTAATTTTTGTAATTTTTTTCTTTAAAATAAAATGCGGATACAGGATACCTCACAAATATACCCTGCCTTCTTTTCGAGTTCATTAATTTGATTACTGGTTATAACTATCGGCCTCGGTGACTCCAATAGTACTATTGGAGTCACTGTTGCCCATAGTTTTAACCAGACCCTCTAAAGACCGTGTATATTTGTATACTATTTTCTCATTACCTTATACATGCATAGTGTCACTTTCCTCATTTTGTTGCTTTTGTTAATATCATTGAATTACAAACTGTATATGTCAAAGTACATTTTTATAAACATAATTGTTATATTTTTTTGCGAATACGTGGGGAAATTAATACCTGATGTAGTTAGGTCTAGGCCCTTTGCACACGAGATGTCCTCGTGTACACAGTATCACCTGTGCTAATAAAACCTATGAAGTCAAATACACATGAGGCGTCTCCGTGTTTACATTATCACCTGCGCTAATAAAACCTATGAAGTCAAATACACATGAGGCGTCTCCGTGTTTACATTATTACCTGCGCTAATAAAACCTATGAAGTCAAATACACATAAGGCGCCTCCGTGTTTACATTATTACCTGCGCTAATAAAACCTATGAAGTCAAATAAACATGAGGCACCTCCGTGTTTACACTATTATCTGCGCTAATATAACCTATGAAGTCAAATACACATGAGGCACCTCCGTGTTTACCCTATTACCTGCGCTAATATAACCTATGAAGTCAAATACACTGCGTACATGCATTCCTGTAATTAACGCTATGTTGCTCTATTTTATATGCCATGTTATATTTGTATGATGCCTTAATGCCTAGATTACATTTGCTCTCGGGTGCCGCATGATAAATTGGTTTATGATTTTTCGTGCGATTTTTTTTTTTTTTTTTTGGGGGAGGGGGCATCGTAGGAGGCTACAGTCTACGACGATTGTATTTACATTATCTGCGAGCATCGTACCATTTCTTGTATTGGCCCTCGGTTGCAGGCCGGGGCTAATCCGCACAGAGGCTGCTTGGAGATTGTGCGGAAATCGTGCAATTGCAGTGCAGTAGCCGTGCAGTCTACGTAGGCTCCGCACGGAAATCATACAGAGCCGTTGCAGTTTCCGTGCAGAGGTTGCGCGAGAAGGCGCGGTGACCGTGCAGCCGCCGTGCCGTTTTTGAGCGTTTTTTTTACCAATGTTCACCGATCAGCGGGAG